CTATCCGAGAAGACTAGAATATCTAACCATTTCTTGATGTTATAGAAAGGTAGCAAATTCTTCTAAATTATTTTAAGACCTTGAGTGTTGGTCCGGCCGGGGCTCGAACCCAGGGCTCTATCCATTGAGCTATCCGGGAGATGGTTACCCATAGGGTCGTTGATAATAGCGAGTGAATTCTGTGTTTACTGATTAGTTCTACAAAAGAGACGCCGTCCATTTCCCCCTAAGTATCTCGAACTTAGTACCATTCGCATTTACCGTTTTGAATTTTATCTTATTGTTCTCAGTAGTATTTAATTATCAAACGTGACCTACTTTTTTGCCACATGCAAATTTGAAACGTCTTCAAATACATATTCGGCACTATAAGATAATGCAAAGAAAAACAGATAAGCAAAAAACGTGTCTTATACAGCATGAACGTAGTCCTTAAAACTAGAAATTTTAAGTTCTTCATACCCCTTCGTCTACTCAGTTTGTCTTCTCAACGGTAGATCAAGTTGCCAATGCCAGTCCATCACGCATATGCTGCGGTTTTCTGTATCAAAGAACTTAGTTTGTCAAGAAGATCTTTTTGTGGTGCTCGGAGTTCGAAAAACGGATCAATACAACTCCAGCCACAAATAGTATTCAGCTTCTCTTCCAGAGAATCAGAACACGCGCAGCTTTGGTCATTCTGTCGACGTCTGCGGCAAACAATCTTTGCAAACTCGTTCAAGTAGTCTTTAAACTTCTTAATGACATCTGATGCTTGAGATTCGACATTTTTGGATTTCTGTTACAGCTTTCTTACTTCATTTTGCAAGGCCCGCTGCTCTGATAACAGCTTCTGAGTGTCCAATTCCAATTTTTGAATTATCCCCTCAATTATTTTACGATAGTTGGCGAAATTGACTTTGTCGTACATTGAATGCTTCGTCAGATCCCAGAAGTTGATATCCTCTGTTTGGTTGACGCAGGGGTCTTGTAGCCTCTCCAAACGGTACTCCTGTGCAACATAGAAGAGATCCAAGCTCTTTAGAGGGGAAGGATCGCGTTGTTGCCATGTCAGGGTACTCATCAAGAAGTCTTCACATTTCTCTGTGAGCTTCTTCATCATGTATATATTCATTTGCAAGATCCAATAAGAAAAAGTAGTTCAATTCATTGATCGCCTTTGACTAGTCGGATAAATGACCAGGAGCATCTCTGTTATTTCGCTTGATCTCTTCCCTGGAAGGAGCACCTCCAGCGCAGTTCTCTCTCTAAAGTTCGCGGTGAACATTCGTGAGAATACTGGCGACCACAAAGCCAAAATGTTGCGATGAACATTGAATCGTCTTCCTTCCACAAACAGAACGAGATCGCTGTGTTCCCAGGGTCGGGAAAAGTCGATCTGATCTTTACTAGGCAAGACCGCTTTATATCGAGCCATTCTTTACTGTTTGGAGACACCTTACAATGGAGACGTTTACTTTTCTTAAACAGAGGGTCCAAGTGAAGACACGTAACGATTTCCCGGAATAGATTCTCTGCTAATACCTCCCAAATTTCTCAGAAATAACTGAGACAATAAGTTTTAGCGAAGCGAAGCACTGCAACATAACATTTCGGAGCGTTCCGCCACCCCTCAATAAAAATGATTGAAGTTTCCGAACAACAGAATTTGTTTACGATCAAGCGAAACCGACTACGGGCTTATGATTTCGTAGATTCTAGACTGACACGAGAGTAAAGCTGATGTAGAAGATTATTTCAGTGGGACAGGATGGGAAATTGATTGTGGACTCACAGAAATATTTCAAACTTTAAGTTTAAAGGGAGCTTTACTAAGGGAAGACCACTTTATATCCAGCAATTCTTAACTGTTTGGAGACACCTTCAATACTAATGATTATCGAAAATTATAACTGTAGTACTTCGCTCACATCCTCTCCTCTCTACTTTCCAGTCTCTGCTGTGCCTGTATTTGATTATTATGTCTTGTTTTAACTCACTAGTAATTTTATTGTATTTAATTTGTATGACAACTGTACGTATCTTTTAGCTTATAATGTAGTAAACTAATGCATGGCTTATAACCTCAATAATAACTATTGTAGTAATGAAATCTCTTTAGTTTCTCTTTAGTTTATTGTGGTAATTAAATTTCAATGTGTAGTATTTACTTATTTATTACTAATACTCGCCAAGACTAGCTAATGCTATATGCGGGTTGTGTAAATTTGCTTCTAATGTTCTATAAAAT